TGTTTCATCTTATATATCACATCTCACTATACATATCCCTACATACCCTTTCTCCTACACATACTTTCTAAAATATATTTTCTTCATTTTTTATCTATCTGAAAAACTTGTTTCCTTCAAAAGCTTATCAAATCTATTATTTATTTAATATTTACTTGCTTTGTTTTATCATTATTTATCATTTCAGTAGCCTATTAAAACTTAGTGCCACTAGTATACCATTTTTTTCAACACAGTAATCCAGCCCACTAATTTCACATCTTATATATGGTGGACACTTAATATTCATTAAATAAATGGCTATTATCTTTATGTGTGTGTGTATATATACACACGCACACATACATATGTATACAATTAGTGTGTCTCATAGGGTGGAATGTTTTCACTGTTGGTATACAATATGATCTTAGATGGCATACGAAAAACCATTAATTTTTTTTTATTTTAAAAACATAAATAGGCCAGGCATGCTGGCTTACACCTGTAACCCAACACTTTGGGAGGCCAAAGATGGAGAGCTGCTTGAGCCCATGAGGTTGAGACCATCCTGGGCAACATAGTAAGATTTCATTTCTAAAATTTAAAAGAATAAAAAAGATAACTGTGGCCTGTAGTCCCAGCCACCATTTTAGGTGGCTGAGGTGGATCGCTTGAGTCTGTGAGGTTGAGGCTGAAGTGAGCCATGGTCATACCATTACATTGCAGTCTGGGTGACAGAGCAAGACTACATTACAAAAATAAATAAATAAATATACAACTTTATTATATTATAAATTATATTTTCTATAAATATTTGTATTACATAATAAATTATAAATTACATAGGTAAATTATAATATGCATTTATTTTCATATGCTTAGAAAATATAGACCAGCTCTGAAACCTACAACTTTTCAGATAATATGCATGGGACATCACTAAATATTATCACTGAATTTGAGAGAAAATATTGGATATGTTATAATATAGGTGAGAATTAGCTATGTGCAAGCTTTGAGAGTAGCTTATACATTTTTGAAATATGAGAACACTGGTCTAAGATAAGCTGAAAACTTGATGTTGTAGTAAATCCACTTACCAGAGGAAAAAGTGGAAAATTTAAAGGCTAGTGCACAGTTATTAACCTACTCTGGCAGATTGTATTATTATGCCCAAGTCCTCACTGCCCATCCCAGGAGGAGAAATACATTTCCCATGCCATATCTGTCAGGCTCCACCATTTGACTTACTTTGAAAAATGAATGTGAGCATAGGTTATGGGTTTAGAAGAAGCTGTCAAGGCCAGAACATGGCTAGCAGGCTCCCTTTTTACCCTTTGTCACAAGAGCCAGCAATGTTCCCGATGGAGGTTGATCTGTGAGTTTAAGTTCCAAAATGAAGTTAAACGGGAAGAATGCTATAACTTTTGAAGGGTCTAAAATTTTGTTCTACTTACAAGCTAACACAGAAGCCTGTCACAGTTTTATGGATGTTGGCCAAAAAAAAAAAAAAAAATATATATATATATATATATATATATATAGAGTAAATAAAGCAAAGATGTTGTATTACAGACAAAGGAATGTATTGCTCTGCAGAAATAGACAATCTTTTAAAGATAGACCTCTTCTGAACTTAATGCTTCATGGAATAAGTACTGTTGTTCACATATGTCAAACAGACATTTCCTAGAGTTGCAAAATCAATATGACATTCTAATTAAATAATGCCTAAAAAAAACCTAAGCTCTGTGGACTTAATTTATTACAGTAATAACAATAGCTAGAGTATCATTATTTGCCATGTTCCCCGAGCTTTGGTTCTTACAGGGCAGCACAAAGAAGACCAGGATACCTGCATATGGAGTGGGATGCTTTACAGGGAAGGATCCAACTAGCTTAGGGAACCCAAAACTTTTTAATGGGCAGCAAGGCTGCCCAACATTTGCCCTGGAGAAAAGCAGTGTCCTTATACTGTTCTTTCCTTGAAAAGACACAATTAGTGCCTGTTGCAAGACATGGAGAAATGCAAAAGACCCTTTAACAATAGTCACCTAACACAGTCAAACAACAATAGATATCTAGCATGAGTAAGAATTAAATTCTCGTTATTGTGTGCCTCTGAGATTTGGGGCTTATTACCCCGTAGTCTAGCATAATCTAGACTTTTCTGAATAGTGTATCTATATCTGTTGATTTTATAGGAATATAGACATGAAATTTAGAAATTCCTTAAACTTCCGGAACTATAGGGAAAAATTGCACATATATAAAAAGTATATACAAACACATTTTTCTTTTTTTTTATTATTATTATACTTTAAGTTCTAGGGTACATGTGCATAACGTGCAGGTTTGTTACATATGTATACTTGTGCCATGTTGCTGTGCTGCACCCATCAACTCGTCAGCACCCATCAACTCATCATTTACATCAGGTATAACTCCCAATGCAATCCCTCGCCCCTCCCCCCTCCCCATGATAGACCCCGGTGTGTGATGTCCCCCTTCCCGAGTCCAAGTGATATCATTGTTCAGTTCCCACCTATGAGTGAGAACATGCGGTGACAAACACATTTTTCTTTAGCTAGAAAGCTTGTGACACATTATGAGATTTTAAAGAGTCTATAACCCGAACAATTCTAAAATAAGCCAACAATGTTTTTATAGCTCCCATGTATAGATATTTCGAATTTCCATTAATGTCTAAGCAGAAAGAGAGTATTTTTTAAAAAAACACAAAAGGAAATATACATATATGTGCCAGGAAGATGGAAAGTCCAGAAAGAAAATTGGTACTTTTCCTATTAATAAAAACATTATTTTCTGAGTATAATACTTGATATGATATAAGAATATTCTCTTTTAGCCGAGAAACCCCCTAAAAGTTTAGGTGTTATGTTTGGAATATGAATGTTTCTTCAACCTCTTACATAATATTTGCTTGGACTATATTTTTCTCTATCTAAAATGTTTGAGATCACACACACTGCTTATAAAATAAAATGATTGAAACAGAGAAATATAAGCCAGTTATTCTTTATATTGATACAAGACAACCAAATTTATCTTAAATTTTCTTGAATTACAGTCAAATTTCTCACTGAAATGGCACTGAGTAGAAGGATTTCTCTTTAAATCTGGAAGTATTTCAATCAAATTAAAAAGTCAAATAATAGCATAAGGTAAATATATGTGGTTAATAAATGCTTTTACTTACTGACCTTCAATTTAGAATTGAGATGTGCGTGTGTGTGTGTGTGTGTGTGTGTGTGTGTGAGAGAGAGAAAGAGAGAGAAGGAGAGAGAGATTAAAAGCATACGTTTTAAACTCTTAAGTCAAAAAGAGAAAATTTAGTTATTAGTGTGTTAGTGCTCCAGGCTCCAGTGGTAGTCAAGCCATCTAAATCAGGGATTGAGTTAAGAAGGCCCACAGTTAGGAGAGGGGCAGACAACACAGTGAATCTCAGAGTTAAAGGGACAAGTCGAGTCAAAGTTTATTAGAAAATGCGGAGACTGAAAATCCGTACAGACATGCATTAAGTGAAGACGAAGGGCCAGAGGGAAGACTGACATTAGGGTAACCAGGCAAGCTTCAGCTCCCACTGTCTTCAGGTAGACGGTTTGGAGCTAGGGCAGTGACTGCCTCTGGGAAGAGAGACCAGAGTTGTTTTCTAAAACAGGCCTTGACTCTAGTTCTTAACCCTCCTGCTGAGTGGGTTTAGCCCTCATTTTGAAGCACCAAAACCATGGAAATTGGGGTAGATCAGGAGTCCTTAATATGGAGTCTTAGAATTTGGAAAAGTATTTACTTTTATAAATTTCTAACTGAAATTGAGCATTGTATTCGATATAAATGTAGGCAAAAACCACAAAAGCATTAGTATTAACTGTAATGGTGTCTTTATTAGCAGGAGAAATCAGATATTTTTGTATCACATTGTAGTTGTTGCATCTATTTTGAAATATCTTTTATATTCATGACTACATCATAATACCTTTTATGATGGATCTTCTTTGTAACTTTGCAATATTTCATTTTACTAATTTAACACATTCTAAGAAGAGGCTTATGGCTTCACTAGACTATCAACGTGATGGGAGATACAAAAAAAATACGGTTAAGAATCTTTTATACAGATGTGCGAAGTTTCAGACTGTTCAAAAGTGTTGATAGTTTTAGAAATGGGATTGTTTTACCTTCTTAATGCATAAGAAAAAGCATCTAAATAGTCATTAATAGTTTAAAATTAACTGCATTCTGGTAAATGTTGAAAATTCTGAATTTATTTTTTGTCAAAGGAACATGTTATTTTTGTGTATGCACAAATATATCAGTAATGACAATTTCAAAATCGAAGACAATGTGCACAGTGCCCATAATTATATCAGTATCAGGGTTGGGAAGAACTTTGGATCAGGAATTCAGTCTTCAGCAGGCCTCACACTACCTATGACAAACTCATTCTGTAAGCCTCAGATTCTTCACCTGAGTCAACTGGGCTGCATCATCTCCAAGAAGTCTTTCAGTTCTGTTGTTTAGTGATTTTAATATACACTAAATAAGTCATTTGTGATTTAATGAATAACACAATGCATTTAAAAATAATTAAAAAGCTTTCAACTTGATGTAAAATAGTTTGATTCAAAGAGGAAAAATATATATACACATACATTGTTTGACTAGTATCAATGTATAGCTGCAAAGACTGACATGTTTTTAACTATCTATTCAACTTATAGGTTGCTTTAAGTGCTATATTGTGTCATTTCATAAAGACCAGCAGCTTTACCAAGACTACCTTTCCTTTTTAAAGATAGACAATCTCTTTAAGACAGACCTCTTCAAAACTTAGCGCTTCACCGAATAAGTACTGTTGTTCACATATGTCAAATAGACATTTCCTGGAGTCACAAGATTAATATGGCATTCTAATTATATAATGCCTAAAAAATAATGCCCATAATGTCTCCATGGGAAAAACCTGATTGAAGACTCTGCTAAACATTATCTATTACCTGAAATTTAAGAATTCCATGACAATGAAAAACTGCATCTCAGATCAGTAAGTCAGGTCTCTCTCACACCAGATTCTCCGTGTTGTTAAATTAAAAATTGCTTCTCAGAAATGCCATGATACAGAATATTTGTAGATTGACCTAGATGAGCAATCAAAATCATCAAAGAAAGGATGAAAAAAGAATTTTAAGAAAACATTTGAAACATTTTCTTTCTAAAATTGACAAAAATCCATTTCATCCAAATGAAAGGCCTCAAAATCTGTTAGCAAAGAAGAGTGGAGTGAAATGCAGTAAATGTATCTAAAATTATAAAAGTGTTTTTAAAAGTACCTTTCTCATTACATCAAAATGCAATTTTTAGACAGAGACATTGTAACATGACTCTGTGTGCTGTGCTGTGTGTACAATAAAGAAAGCAAAATTAATCCCTTCCCCTGACAACCTCTAGAAATGAAAACCCATTACAGTAATAATATTTGTACTTAGGTCTTGATGTTTTTGTGCTGAATTTGAATGCCATGAAATGATTATATATAGTGGTTGATGGGGATATATGTGCAGATAATTACATAAATAATCTTCTTTACTTAGGGGCAAGGTAACTTTTTAGATTGGGTAAAACTAGTTGTAACCTAATAAAACTCTTTAATACTTTTCTGTACTGCTGAAGCTTGAATTTTAGTATCCCAAAGATTAATTAGGGATATTTCACTTTTCACTGGGATCCAAGGACAGAATAAGCCCTACAACTTCATGACCATTGGCCAGATGCCTATCCTCGAGATACAAGCATCTACTTGACTCATTAGCATCCTTAAAAATGTCAAGGATCTTATAGTGTTGCTCTGCTCTGAAAAGGAATGTAACCTACAAAATTAAGAAGACAGCCTTCACAAAAATAATGTTTAAAAACCAGGGTACGTGTCTCACATACAAGAAAGAATTCTCCCTGGAACTGAAATACTAAACTATCCTTGTTGACCCACCTAAGTTATCCTTCCATTTTTCTTTAGCCATGATGACTTTGATTTCGATCTGTGAAATGAAAGTTTCTTAAGATTTTTCACACAATATGTAGGAAAAACTACTACCTTGTTGCCTTCACTTTCTTCATTGTTCCTTCTTTTTATCTCACTGCAAATTAGCTTGTATGCCTTCATTTGCCAGGAATGCTTACTTTAAAAGTCACCAATTATTTCTTAGCAGGATACACTGTCTTAGTATGATTCATTAGTAGGATACATTAGTCTACTTGGCAGCTACTTGCATGTCAATCTCTCGCTTTCTTAAAATTAAATAGTTATTTGTTGAATGAATAAACGAATGAATGCTTATACTCTCGTCGTTTACCTTTTCTGTTTTTAAGTCCTTCTTCTCTGCCATCTGATGCATACACATAGTTTTATTTTCTGCCTTTCTAGATGATGCTTAGTTATCTTACTGTTTTCTCTACAGTATTCTTTACCAAATTCTAGATCTTGATGTTCAAATGCCTGTTAAAAATTCCCTAAACAATTTCATCACCAATAGATTAAATTCAATATGTCTCCTGATCATCACATTTTCTATTTTTGTTTATATCACTTATATCTCAGTTATTCAAGCTCAACATCTCAGTTTTTGTCAAAACTTCTCACTTTCCAATTAGACGTGGAATCTTGAAGTTTCTGCCTCTGTATTTTGTTTTGTGTTTTTTTCACTGATAACACTATGGTTCACATCAACAGTGCATTTTCTCAGCCTTTTAAGCATGAAATTACAGGCTTAGTTTTCCCCTGAAACCCTGATGCAAAACACGATGTATAGCATACTGTAATTGTTCCATAGACATTGTATAAAACTAGTGAATTTTCCTACATAATCCCACCCCTTTCCAAACCACCTCTAATGAATTTTTCTTACTGAAAAGAAGTTTTGAAAATAACCTACTCCAGCTAAAATGAAAACAGAACATTGCAATAATTCTGCATTACTTAATGAACAAAATCCCAAGCTCTTTTGCCTAATACACCACAATTTTTTCCAACACTAACGTTCTTTTCTGAACCCTAATCCCATTTGTTTTGCTCCTCATTCTGGAATTCTGCTATTAGCTTATTTAATGTTTCAGTCCTTACGAAGACTAGAACTCTTACCTAAGTCTTGCCAATCTCCTTTCCAGAGATTAGAACTTTGATTCTGTCTCTAAGGCAATGAGTTAGAGTTGTACAATTCCTAAGAGAAAAATGCACTGCTAGAATGAACTCCCTCAAAAACAATGGGCATTCCTGTTATCTCCCTTTGCACATTTCTTTCTTTTCATATGCATCATGACAAGAAGTTACCATGAATTTTGAACATCAAAGTGTATTTGTTCACAAACTGAAATTTGTTTTCAATAAGAGGAATGGGTTTCCCCCAAGAAGGTGAATCTAATACCAGATCTAACCTCTACTCTGCTTACTGTTATTGATTCTGTCTGCAGATATATTTTCTGTTAAAATATTCTAGAATATGTTTCATTTTATTCTTATAACAAATATGGCAAGCTTCCATGTGTTAATTGTTATCTATTTCTTATAAACCCATGGGACTATGACCTTATTAAGGAAAAGGAGTATGTTTTATATTTTATTGAATAATTCACTATAATTTGTACATTAGTTCATATAAAGAGGGTACTCAAATATTTATCAAATGAGTTTTATACTCCATTCATTATCCCTTTTTACCTCATGACACCACAATAGGGTTGCTACTGTCTTTTTGGCTCTTGACTTAAAGAGAAATTAGGGACAGCTATTCTGGTCATGATTGGTTCATAACTGAAAATATGTCCTAAAATAACCTGATATTAAAAAATGAAGATTCAGAGTTCTTGAAGGTCACAGAGAAGATTGAGAATTATTGATAAACTTTAACATTTTGGTCAATTTTAAGAATAAATTTGTCTTTTATTGGACATTGCTCAATAATGTATTTTAAATTGGGGAGATTTTTATGCATCTGCAAACACAATGAACAAATTGTCCATTTATCTTGAAAAACAAGAATCATGAAATTTTAGAAGCAGAATAATATTTTGCAATAAAAGCTCACACTTTTCATTTTGCCAAAGAGAAAACTAACACAGAGAAATTTGCACTCCCAAGACCAAAAAGAGCCAGAATTTCAATAGCTGTAAGGGGAACTGAGTGGGATTCCTAGTCAGAAGGGAAAGCACTTTGAGAGAAGTCCTTGAAATACATATTGCTAATTTCTACCTGATTGCCATTCTTCTGTTTTTCCTACTAGCTGCACATGATCACTCATCTAAAGACTACGTTTGAAGCATCCTTTAAAATAGGTATGGCAATGAGATTAAATTGCTTGGACTTCTTCTCTTCCTGTTTTCATACCTTCCCACCAGTTGGGATCCAGATCTAGTTTAATCTGAAAAGGTTAAGCAGAGTTTCCCAATCCCTGGGCTGTGAATCGGTGCCTGTCTGTGGCCTGTTAAGAACTAGACTATACAGCAGGAGGGGAGCAGACGGCAAGGCAGCATCACCTCATGTCATTAGATTCTCAGAGGAGCACCAACCCTACTGTGAATTGCACATGTGAGGGATCTAGGCTGCACACACCTTAAGAGAATCTAACTAATGCCTGATGATACAGGGTGGAACAGTTTCATCCTGAAACCATGCCCATCCCACCTCCACCACCCTGTCCATGGAAAAGTTGTCTTCCATGAAACCAGTCCCTGGTGCCAAGAGGGTTGGGCACAAATGGGTTAAAACAACAATAGAGAAGGAAACAGGGAGCCTCTATGAGCTTATGGAGGATAGCTACCTACTTGCCTGAATTGCTTTCTTATACCTGGATTATTGCATGAGGAATAATATTCTGAATGTTTGAAACATTGTATTTTTGGATGTCTTTTGATTGCAGTGTAGTCTGTGCCCTAATATGCCCTCAGGCCAGCTATCCGGATACATAGAACACAGAATTTTAGTGGTAAATGAGTCCTTAAAGAATTCCTGATCCAATCACTTATCTGCTTGCTGACAGATATACAATTAGGCAATTTCATTGAGTACTTGCAACTTCATTGAGTACTTCCAAGAGAAATATCTTGCAGACTATTTATCTTGTCATTAACTTACCAAGCTTTCCCCCACTAAAGCATCATGTTAAAAATATATGCCTGTGAGAGCAGCAAATGAAAGTGTACATCACTTAGAGAGAAAGTTATGCTGTAGCACAATGTACTGTTCCTCTGAAGCATATATAACTTTGTTCTCCAAAGTTAACTTATTCCTTATGTTCTTATAACTGTTTATTCAAACATGGGATCACAAATAGTTAATGAGTAACTAATTGCTACCTAACAGGAACCATGCTTGGACAATATTCTTGTCCTCATGTTTGATTTAAAAAAAAAAAGTTATTAAAATAATTAAATTAGCAAGTCTAGTCAACATTACTAAGGCAAAGCACATACTTGTGTTGGGGTGTTAAACAGGAGGACCTAACATAATTTGGTGTTAAGAATTCTGAACTTTTTGTTTGAACTTATTTTTATATGTAATCTGTTATAGTGGCAAAATACTATTAATTTTGGCTGATCAATAAAATTTTGAGGGCATGAGGAGGAGTGTAAAGCAAGACATTTTTCATGGTGCGGTGAAAATAATCCTAGTGATAGAGAAAAATAACAGAAGAATTTCATGCACCCTCTTTATGTGTAAGACAGAATGGGGAAGAATCATCGAACCACAACCAGAAGTGAAAGAGAAGAACACACAAAAGAAGTTTTTGGCTGTCTATCCAGAGAATAATGCCTCTTTCCAACTGGCCCTATCTAAGTTAAGTAAGCAGAACTATATAACTATGTAATGCTTTGAGTGTGTGATTGTCATAACTTTGAGTTTTAGGGTTATTGAAACAATAAAATATTGCTTGTATGTGTGCGTGTGAATGAATCTTATATAGAATGTATCCATTATGATATAGAAAACTCATTTTATAGATTAAAAATTGATTTCAATAATTTGAAATAACTTATAATAATGAGTTTCATATTACTAGATGTGAGAATTCAGTGAAGGCACTGAATTAGAATGTGACTAAAGGCATATATTGCCTACATGTTGGTTTGAACATTGCAACTCTACCTATTGCTAAGGCAATAGCAATAATAATAATAATAAAGCAGAGAGGAAGAAACAAGTCATTAGTCCTTCATGGTTATCCCTTTAAAGTCATGATATCTGTACTGTAGGATGGTCTGTAAAAATGAAAGAGAAGACAGATGGCAAGGCAGAACCCAGCATAAGTTTGAATGGTATCCACCAGGAGGAAAATGCTTTATAATTGGTAAATACTATAATGAAATATGTTAATGCACATTACAAGGATTTAGAAGTCAAGGCCCATCTGTGTGAAACAAATATCGCCAATAAAGATGTTTTCCCACTTGTATTATCAAAGGATCAAATAGTAATTTCAATCACAGTTCAGAGACAAGCCATATGTTAAAAGGTCTCTCACATCTCAAAGGCAGTAGTGTGTTATGTAGTCATATTTTCAGAAATAATAGGGAAGTTGCTTCATTATTTCCTATTTTCTTTTTCACAGTCTTTTAATTGATCTTATGTGTGTGGTTCTATCTGTTAGTTCACCACAGATTCAGAGGTACCGTTGAATCTTTCCAGAATGCCATTGTTAGTTCATAGTTTCTGATTTATAAAGAGTGCAAATGGGATTGATATATTCTGCCCCCGCATCAGCCTCTGCCCTTCTTCATTTCCCTTTAAAACATTTCTGGAAGCCTAAGAAATCTACAATTATTTCTCTTTGGGCACTTTGCAATACAACTGAAAGTATATTTTGAAATACAGTATTGCTCATGCAAGCATTGCTATTGATTATGCAAAACAAATCTGCCTGTTATGGTGCACGTATTGCAAAAAAAAAAAATGCTATATTATGTGGACTGTGTTCTCTGTTGATGAAAAACATGTACCTGCTCACAGCTCTGATTCCAAAGGCCCAATTTACTAAAAATTAGTGATCCGTCAGATTAATGGGCATAAAGCAATCTGCACTGTTGGCGCCTTGAAATTTCTTGCATCAGTCACCAGATCATGATTTACTAATAGGATTTCAGATCTTGCAAAATAGCACAATTCTAACCACATATTAATATTTAATCTGGCATTTTAAGTGCACTTAACAAAAGACCCTAGAGCTGCTGACAGGACCCTAAATTGTGAATTTCTTAAAAGGGAATTGAGCAGGTCCATAGTGATTTCATCAAAAATAAAAATAAAAAGGAAAAGGAAAATAAATGTGTTTCTACATTTCTTATGTAGACCTCACAAGCCTGGGCTCTCATTTTTCTTAAAACTATTTATCATGCATTTTTAGTTGCTTTATTAGAGAATCGCAAGACTGGATCTAGCGGCTGGCTGCAAAATGTACAATTTGATGACAGCCGATGCATTTTGGTTAATAAATTTTATATTAGACAATTTGTTCCTAAAATAATTCATTGGCACTTCCAAAATGTTGCTAAATGAGAGATGATACAGCCTATAAATCACTTGAATCACCTTATTTCTTGCTTCTAAGTAACTAAATCTGTTCTGTAGTAGTGAGTTGAAGCTTCTCAGTAGGCAAGTGTGTTTGCTTTATAATCTCAGGTTTACAGCTCTAGATTACCATCAATGCCAAATTCCAGAGATATCCAGATCCATTTCAAATCAGAAAGTGCAAAAGAAGGGAGAATGACCTTACCTGCTGATGTTATCAATTATATGCCATTGTTAGATTTAACGTATATGATGAGTATACCAAATAGGTGTTGCATTACTTCCATTTGTTGAAAAAAAAAATCATAATTTATGAAAGATATTTCTGTAATAACAGGATGCCACCTGTAATAAGAGAATGTTTATTAGTGCACAAATGAGGGTTATAAATGATGTTGCTTATCTATGAAAAAAAACACAAAAGACAACTTATTAGCCAAAGATAAATTGCTCAGCACAATCTCAATGAGATGCTAGGTTTGTCAAGAAAAAAAAAAAAAGCTTTTTATTTGCAGAGACCAATGCCTTTATAATCCATTTAAAATAATATACTTGCCACTAGGTGGCTATTTCTGATCAGATCATTTTACCATTTTAATTACATTTTTAATATCCTGGCTGCATAAACAAAGATAAATTACAAACCCTGCACAATCTGGCTGCTAGCTCAGGCATAGTCAGTAATAATATCAGCTTTTGTTTGTGCGTCCTCTAATTAGATTCTGAAATCTAGGCTTTGTCAATCAATAATTTTAATTTTAGAATCACTTTTTGATCTTGCATTTCATGTTTGTTTGGGAAAATGATCAGTAGGACAAAGCTGATAATTTATGCAGAAACAATCTCTCAGCAGAGCTACATGCACATTCCTCCCCATCAACAGAAGCCTGCAGACTAAGCTTGACACAGGTCTAATTAGCATGCAGATATGTCGCCTCATTGGCAATTCAAATTGCTTTTTTATAATGTACCTCAAATTGTGCTACTCAAACATTGTATTTGATTTCCAAAGCCCCCTGGGCATCCCATAATGTCTCCCTTCATCCTGGGTATGAAGCATTTATTGAACAGTCTGCTGAGACTGGCTGTCTTTTCGAAAACACCCAAACATCGTATTCCTGGGACCAGCTTTTCTTCTTGTCAGAGAGCAACTTGTTCTTCTGCGGAATTCCTTGTGCCACATTTGTAGGTTTAGAGATGACATGCTACCTCATGAGTTGCTTCTCCCACGTGGTTGATCTATAGAGGGCTTCACTCCTGTGCCTCTCATTTTTAAAGTGGGGGAGAATGTCTGGTAAGCACACATTAATATGCAGCACATAACCACATCTCTGAATGCCAGTCCTCCATTCTTCATTAAACAAAAATGGCTGGATTGCAGGGATTGTTTTTCCTTTCTTCCACATACTTATGCACACATGCTCACATTTGCTTTCTTGGGCACACCTACATGCACACAACTACATCACGCGCATCTACACACCTATGCAAGACACCCACAGCACATCATTGTCAGGATGGAGTTATGTGTGAAAGTTGTCTGCTGCACACATGACAAATAAGGGGATTCCAGCATACACTGGGGCTTTTTAAAAATTCCTTTTTTTTTTAACCATGCAGCAACAAGTGGCAGAATCAATGGTGTACAGTTATTCAGCAATGTAATTCATTTCACTGGCTTTGGCTCCTAGCCAGATCCGCCATCTGTCTCTAGCTCTCTCTCTCCCCCTCTCTCTCCCTCTCCCTCTCTTTCGCTTGAATTTGTCCTACATTTCGTAATGTTACGTGCCTGCCATCCTTATCCTATGCCAGAGATACAACACCAGTCTCACCCCCATTCCGGCGTGGAATTCTCTGAGTTCGGTGGCACTTGGGATATTCCACTTCAGTGCCATGGGAAGAAAATGGTAAGCAAAAAGCAAAAGGAATAATGTAAAAAAAAAAAAAATTTATAATGTTCTGGTATCCAATTGCTCCTGCTTCAGCCTTTTATCCAAAGCCTTGAGATGGATCTGCCTCATCCAGGAAGTTTTCCTGCTTCGTTAGAGTATCTTCGTTTTCTTTATCAGACGCTGGCTGGCACTCCACGCCAGTGCACGGCTCCATGGAATGCCTGCTGTTGGACACTTGCAGAGCTCTGCCACCAAGCAACCTCCTGCATTGGAAATCGGGGGACTACTCCAGGATCTTATGCGTGCTTGCTGTTTGAAGCTGCAGAAAAGTGAATAATCAATTAAGTATTGATTTCTTGTAAGATTTGGTAAATTTCAAAGGCAAGACAAAGAGGATGGCTTAAGGAAACACTGCAGGGACTTGGCGTAAATTAGACAACTAACGGAAGTGCAGAATAAAATAACACCTCAACTGAAGATTTCCTTGGAAGAATTAGCACTAGCTATTGGAAGACAATGGTGGATTTAATCAAAACAGCAGGCATGCAAGAATTTTACCCGTGAACCAGAAAAAGGAGCTAATTATAACCACCTTTTTAATGGAGCTAATTTGACTGAATGGATGCAAATGTGCTTTATTTATGGATGAAGAAGCAAGCCTTACTGCATGATCTTGGGATCATCGGATCTGCTAAGCTTTGCAGCTCCTGTTACCTTCAGTACATTTTTTATTTCCGGAGAAGGTATTTATATGTAAACAACAGCTAACCATGCAAAAGATTCATCGGAACAATATACTGTGGTATATGAGATATAATCATAATTTTGCAGCCTCTCAGGATTTCCTCTAACTTGGAGATTTTGCAACCTTTGTGTGCAATGGGTTATGGTAAACAATAAATGAATGATGCTAAAGTGTTGTGATTTTTCAATGTGTAGTTTATTAATTTTAGCTTTCTTAACATGTTGATTCTGAATTATTTGCAATAAATCCATATGAAAGAAAGGGAATTGCTGGGTGGGGTTTTTTAATGCATTTGCAGTCTTCTTAGAGATCGGAATGTGTAGGTCCCACCAGCCCATGAGCTCTGTAATTATAAAAGAATGGTAAAAAATTTGACAATTTGAAGAATTGGTTTTATAATGGGAACAATGTGTTATAATCAGTAAAAGGAGACTTGTTATGTTTTCTGTCTGTGTAGAATGTTCTTGAGTGGTTAACTCCTCTGTTGCTGATGAGAAGTAAATACCAGGACTGGCAATAAGCAGAGATTGTAATGACAATGCTTTGTTCCTATGCATCCTCATATTTCAAGCTAAAGTGCATTTTAAGCACTTCCTTCTATTTCTATTATTTTCCTTTCCATTTTTGTTCTTTTCATCATTTTTTCTGTCTTGCAATCTACGTTCCCTGAGCAACCATAGGAACCAAGTTACATTAAGCTTCAACACAAAGACCTTGTAAGAATAATGAATCCTCATTTGCATCGACATTTGTATTCAGATTTGCCAGGCTATAAACTTGGCAGATCAAGCGGAATATTAAGTAGAGGCTTCCATGGTAAATTGTGGCTCTTGAAATTGCTAACTACCCCCTCCCCTTTTTTTCTCTCTCTATCTGTGATGGCAGGTGAAGTCTCATGACTACTTGCTTCTTAAGAAGCGTATTGGCTCCTTCATCTTTCATTATATGATGTCAGTCTCAAGCAGAAGACGGGCAAAGCCAGTTGTAGGTGTTCTAGTTGAAGGTACAAAATGACATGGGACTGGAGCATTAATTCTAGAGTCCATATATCACAAGAGGTGTCTTTAAGTAGTTGAAGCTGTAAGAAAATTAATTCTCACGTGTGGGCTAAGGGTTGATCTTTCTGGTATGTTCAAAATGCATTAACCTCATGAAAGCTCACACTCATTTTTTAAAGCTTCTAAAGGTTGGAGGAGGACCAAGGTAGCTCTTTACTCACAAAATAATGCAGTTACACCATTCTGAGTCATCCTCACTGATCTGCTCATGCCCATTCTTGAAATATTTCAAATGCCTCATTCTATTAAGCCTCCATGGATTGACTGAGTTAATCCTGAGTTTTGCTTGATTCTGAAATGGTAAAATAGGAATAGTTATACTTACTGTAAGCAAACTTTTAAATTCAGCAATATGACCTGTAAGGTCATTTCTACAACACAGCCAACAATGGGGTGAAAAATGTAGACTTTAATTTCCATGCTTGGTCCACCCTATGTGATGCCAAACAAGTGAGTAATCGGAAACATTTGTGCATAACTTAATTTTTCATGCATTACCCCAGTGTTTCAGATTTCTGTAAACAGAGCCTAAATCTATGACCTATTAACAAACTCTCACTTCTTGCCATCCCTTTTTCTCTCTAGAACATTTCACTAGTGGGGAGCAATAAAACATATTAGAACTAACAAACTTACAATGGACATTTAATAGTGGTTTTTCTTTTTATTCTATTTTTTTAAATGTAAATAGAGTAAATGATAACATGTAGACTGAATTTTTCATAAAGACATTTTCTTATGGTATATTGCAAGGAACTATGAACTTGTAGTAACTACCATAAGCAACTGACAGGTAAGTCTTACTGTAGGTTGAGGTAAAGTTTAATTGTATACGGAAAAAAAATTGGAGAATGTTTCATGAAAGATGCTAGACTTTTTTTGAAAAACATACCAGCAAATATGTAGAATGAGGAGTCATACTTTATAAGCTTCCATAAACTTGTAAAACTATGTATAATAATCTTTCCATAGTGTACACTGGTATGATATTAATAAATCACAATGTAGCACATTTTAAAGTAGGGTTTTAGCTATTTTTCTTAGTAACTGAATTTTAAATCTGAGAAGAAAAATGTAAATTATGACTTTTTGGGAAACTATATGCTTGTATTCCACAATCGAACTTTTAAGGAAAATAAACTATTAGATAGTTTGGTACTAAGTACCTCTGTACTGAAAAACAAGAGTATTGCCACTATCTGGCAATATTGTACTTTTATATTTACTCTTTTATGTGAAAAAGATGGAAGCATGATAACTAACATAAAGTTGCCTTGATCTAATAATAATAGTAATCTCTGATTACTATCAGAATTAGAAACAATATTTACATGGAACTCTTTTTCTAGGGTCCTAATGATAACATCTGATGACGAAGTGTAACCATCAACTTTAAAACAAAATGCAAACAAAGATTAGAGACTGATATATTAGTTTGAAACAATGTTGTTTATACATGTGAAACAAAGACATGACTGCATCATTTTTAACATATGTTTGCTGTTTCATATAAATGTGAAATTCAATTGATTAGGCTTCAAAACGATATTTTTTTCTAATAGATGGTGTTGATCATTTTATTTTAAAAAAGTAAGTATACATTTGGTCATATTCAAAGAATATATTTTGGTTGTCATTCAAATAAAATTTAGAAAGGAAAAGATTTACATTTATACGTTTCTTCAGCACTGCCCATCAATTTGAAACCGTCTTCTTTAATAAATGCTAATGATTTGGTTGATTACGTTTGTGCATGTACTTACCATGCAGTTTTGGGAATCGACACACTGATGAACCTCGATCAAGAAGAGAAATTATAGCATTAGCTCATTTGCTTTCTAAACAGCAGGAGTGAAAATTCTATCCAAAATAATATTAATGATACTGTTTTAGCATCCGCACAGAAAAGCACGTAAAATTTCTTATCAGTGTTTTGTAGATATGGTTCATATTTATTGACTATTATCTCTTCCTTCTTTGTAGGAATACAACTGGGTACATATTTTAAGCCAGTAAATCAAAACCAAAACCAAAAACACACTAAAATGCCCACTTAAAATTGAAGTGTCTCATCCAAATTTGAGAAGGGAGCAAGCCTATTTGTGCCCCTTGCATAGGAAAATAGCACGATGACATAAGTTCAGGGCAATTTCTCTGTGTTGTCTTTCTGTTTCTATTAGAGGATTTTTTACTAACTGGTCAAAATGCACATTACCATTACATTTTTCCCACCATACCTTATGTAGCCACTGTTATACTAACTAGTAAGGTTGTTAGCCAGAGGAACAACACCCAGAAAACAGGGCGGGGCATTCCAGGGCCAGTAAGTCCTTGTCCTGTATAAATTAGAGCAGTGGAGCCCCATGTGTGTTAAACTGAGAACTTGAGCCCTGCTGAATTTAACATTAACGTGTTTTGTTGGTCTTTTTAGTAGGGTAGCTGAGGGCTTTGCCATATTTATAAAGCACTCAGAATTGTAAGACTTAGGCCACAACATTTAGAACACACGCACATTCATCACTTGACCTTTAAAGTCAGTTTAATGTTTTCACTTTTACTAAGAAGGAAATAATCAACAGCACTGTTTTGATTACATTTTCTTCTACCCAAATAACGAAGGGGAAATTTCTAGACCTATAAGAATATACATGTATATATCTTTGAATATATAAAATTATAAAAATAAACATATTTATTTAAGTAATTATATATGAACTATATAAATATATAAAATATTTATATATAAACAGGATAGATATACAAAATAGGATAATTTATTCTCAACTATAGGAAGATATGTAGATGGATATAGATAGAGACATATCTATATACATATAGATACTTATATGATGTCAATCTCAAGCAGAAGAAAGGAAAGCCAGTAGTAGGTGCTCTAGTTGAAGATACAAAATGACATGTGACTGGAGTATTAATTCTAGAGGCCATATAAAGATATTTATATCTATATGTGGATAGATAGATACAGATATAATTGCTTTCCTCTCAGATTTTAAATTGTATATACATCATTGCTACTTAGAGAACAATTAACAGTTCATAACTACAAATTCTTTCAATTAAGAATAGAAAATGTGTGTGTACTTATATGGTATATGTATTTGTGTACGTATACATGACCAAATGTGTTTGATGGTAAAAATGGATGTTTGAGATATATATATATATATATATATATATATATATATATCCCAAGAAATGAAGAAATCAAAGTCGAAGATAGAAAAAATCCCCAAAGCATAGGATCAAATAAAAATTATTCTCACTTTTGGTATCGCCTGATAGTCTCTATAATTAAATAAAAACACAGGTTTAATTTTTATATTTAAATACTTAGTCTGATCCTTTTATAATTCATAGAAAAGGCCATTCCAGGAATAAATGGAAAGACTTGCTAATATTTCAGTAATTTTGAGATCATATGGAATATTTTACTTCAATCATGAGGAAAACATATTCTATGATGATTACAATGACATGATAGAATTAAATTAATGTGTATTTAATTATTTGTCTTAAGAGTTCCTTTTAAATACTAATTACTTAAAAATTAATTGGAGCAAGATTTTATATGTCATACCTACTTTGTGTTACCAATTGTTACTGTAAAATAATTTTAAATAATCATTCAAAATCTTTTTTATAATAGTCTTATTTCTAAATACACTGAAAATTGCTAAGTATAATGATACTCATCTAGGTAGCTGTTAAGAAAACAGTAAAAAATTCTTATTTTTATTTCAACTACTATCTTCATCAAACTAGACTACATTCTTTCCCAGACACCCGAGACATAAATCAGACACCCCTCCCGCTTTTCTCTCTACAAGGACTTACCTACATCCACTTCAATTTTTTTTTCAGTAAAATATTCACCGATTGACTACTGTCTCACCTATTGGACATTCTGACACTAGTAGGCAAGCCTCAATTTCAGGACCCAACTTGAAATGGACAGCCTCTCAGAAAAACATTTTTTTCTAATGTTCTGATTTTGATTAATCTTCCAAGACAGTGGGCTAGGTTAGTCAGCTGTAATGTGGGAAGGGCTTCCTGCCCTAAATTTTAAAATATCACCCAACGAACTTCACAGTTTCCTCTGAAGGTACTACTCACTCTCCGTTTGTTCATATAGGTAATCACATCTCAGCTCAGTCAGTTTCACATCTTCAATCAATGACTGTGTTCTTCACTCCTTAGTTCTCTTTCTAAATGAATTTACCTTCTTCCTCCTTCACTAAACTATTTATCATTTTGAATATTTTATACTGTCCCCTAACCTGTTCTTTTCATTGCTATTAATGCTGAAAAGTGCCCTTTACTTTAGAAATCTGACCTCTTTCATGAAGCTTTACTGATCAAGTAGCTATAAAATAAAACTATTTCTCCCATTTTCAAACAGCAAAATGTACAACAATCATGAATTACATGTACATGATATATATTCATTCACTGGCATCTTCCCATATCATCATACAAGCTATGAGATATATATAGATATAGATATAGATATTATGTATCTCTCTATATATAAAACAATGCAACACAGATGCATGGAGCCTCTATTTTGTGTCATGCACTTTTGTAGAAGCTTTATGACTATAAAGGTGAGCTAGACAGAGAAGGTAAACAAACTGTTAAAGTAGTAAACAATATGAAAATCTACTAAGGAAGGTATACACAATCTTACAGTTAGACATTTTGTTCATTCTTATGCACATATGGAAGGTCTTTGGGAATTCAATTACAATTCAAAATGCTACCTAAAGAAATCATAAACTTTCTATTGTAATTCCATTTGGTAACCGTGTGGTGGTTCAACTATCCTTAGTAATGACAGCTTAGAACAGACTACTTTACACTATTAAAAATCACTGAGATTATAACAGCTTTTGTTTATGCAGATTATAGTTAATAACATCTATCATATTATAAAATAAAACATAAATTATATTTTAAAATTATTCCTCAATTAATTTAAAATAACAACTATAAACACATTAAATGTTAACATAAACAGTATACTATACTAAAACAATGATATTTTTCAAAATAAAAAAGCAAGGAAAATGTCACTGTATTATACTTTAGCGAATCTTTTTAACATGGCTTAATACAAGATGCTGAATTTTAATATCTGTTGTTACATTTAGTCTTGCAATATGTTATTTGGGTTGTGGTTATGAAGAAAATACACATTTCCACAAATATATAATTGAAAAAAATGAAGGACATTTTAGCAAACTTCTCAGTTAATTGTAGATATTCTTCTTTGATACACCAAACACCAACAAGTAGTCATTTCTTAAAAGTTAGTTGCAACAGGGAATGAGAAACCATATCAATGAATACTTTACTCTTAGGTTAAAATCTGTCATCTATCTTGCATTTTTAATGGATCTTTGACCCATGTATAATTTTGTAGCATCATGAATTGGTCTTCTATTAAATATTGGTTCACTGAGTTATGCAAATTTTGATACATTTCATTATCTAGTATCAAACAATAATCACATGTATTAATATAACTTCTAGGATCTTATCAGAAATATCATTAAGTATTGGCAATCTGTCATGCTCATGGTGGCAGGTATAAATTCTCCAAAATTCTAATTCTCCTTGAACGTTAAAATCTTATCATTGACAACAAACACTGTGAGTTGTTTCACTTGTTGTAGATATTCAAGTAGATATTTGTATAAAAGGGGCTATTTCAGCTCAAACTGAATCACACAACTCCTTTACCTCAAAGTAGCCACCACAGTTAGTGCTTCAGTGTGTAGCACAAGTTCTTTATGGGCACTTCCCATTTTGTCACATAAAGTATTAAAAACATACATAACTAAGAGAAAACATTTAATTAAAGTAGTTGCTTCTTCAAAGAGCAATAACATTATTATTATTATTTTTTAATTGAAAGTGTATCATCTTTGCCCAAAATGAAGAACACAATGATTTCTAGCAAAGTTTGGTGCTGTTGATTCATGCTAAAAAGTCAAGACTACTAAGGCTCTAGCACTGCAAGCAAGTTTCAACCCAATGAAAAAAAGTAAATAACAAAAGTATTGATATAAAAGTGGTTTTGGACCTCAAGGACTCCTTAAACATACATCAGGGTTCCTCAGAGATCTGGGCCTGTGCTTTGAGAATCACTAGCCCAGAAAAAACTAAATCATCTATAAATATTTTCTAATCATTTACTAATAATCTGATAGTATCACATAAATTTAACCAGAACTAACTACCACCTATAACAACACTTGTCTTTTCTAAGTTGTTTTGCAATGCATTATATATATAATTATATATATACATATAATGTTCTCATAGTGTACATACTTGTTTATATGTATACATATACATTTTGTTTAATCCTTTCAAAAACCCAATGCACTATCACCATTTTTTAAAAAGAGAAAATTACAGCTGCATTTAATGACTTTTTCAAGGTCAAAAGACCTATAAATGGCAGAATCCAGATTTATATCCAGATTTTCTGAAGTTTAATGTTCTCATTTTACCATAGCTGTTAAAAATAACTCTTTCACAGCCTCCTCTAATTTAAGGAACAGTGAACAAGTCCTGTACCATCAGCTTGTTAGCAAGTCTCTATTTAAGCACTATGAGAAAATGATATGTATATGTATAAATCTTATTTCAAATCCTTCATGGCATGGCAGTCCCACATTATATCTATTTCATCACTGTTCAAAATTGCACTATAATCATGTGATATTCCTCATCATGCCTAGTTTTCTTAACTGCCATAATGATTGATAGCTGATTTGGTCATTATATTGGCTAAAATATCACCAGTCAGTTCATGGTCCAGTTATTTCAACCTTCAAAACGATAATTTCAAATCAGTGTTGTGATCTATTCAACTGCATACAGGTCAGCTTTAACTGTGTTGACTAAGAAAAACTTACCTAAATCTTAGGGGTTACAGGAATACCGGGAACAGAAGTTTAAAAAACAATTTCTGAAATGTATGAAGTGCTCTTGCGTAAAACTTTTCATTCAAAGGCAACAGAAGCCCTGAATACTAGCCTTGATGGTAACTAGTTAGCTATGTTAAAAAAGTATTTACCATGGGCCAGGCACGATGGCTCATGCCTGTAATCCCAGCAGTTTGGGAGGTTGAGGCGGGTGGATCACGAGGTCAGGAGATCGAGACCATCCTGGCTAACACGGTGAAAATCCGTCTCTACTAAAAATACAAAAAAAATTGCCGGGTGTGGTGGCGGGTGCCTGTAGTCCCAGCCACCTGGGAGGCTGAGCCAGGAAAATGGCGTGAACCTGGGAGGCAGAGCTTGCAGTGAGCCAAGATCGTGCCACTGCACTCCAGCCTGGGCAACAGAGCAAAACTCTGTCTCAAAAAACAAACAAACAAACAAAAGTATCTACCATCACCATGCCTTGGTTTCCTTGTCCATATGATGAGAGAGAATTACTACATGATCTGTTTCTCTTCTATTTTAATATTGTGTAATTGTGCATAGAAAAAAAGTACACCTCCCCTTGCGCATTCATGATTTTCTTAATTTAAAGTAAGTATTCTTTTCATGCCAGTCTGACTTCACTCTCTATAGTGAAATCTTTAAAATCCAATTAATTACCCAAATTTACAAATGAAAGTTTTATAGAAGCAAGTTATCGGCCTCGTAAACCTCCTTAAAGTATGCTGTTTAAAAAAATATACTCAGACACTCTCTGTTTTCTTTCTCTAAATAAAAATGAATTGTTTTTATAATTGTTTTATATTTATTATATATTTGATAAATGGAGATTGATTTCCTCTTTTAAAGATGAAGTATAATCCATCCTGAAATATTAACAAGAAACCTTCAGAGCGATGTTAGGGTGGGGAGGGGCAGATAAGCAAGTTTTTTGTTTGTTTGCAATTGTTGAAATTATAGAGGCAGAATCCTTCCAGAGACAGAGATATAATCACAATTATCTGGCCTGTAAAGAAATTGTTTTTATTTCTGTAGCCAAAGGTCAGCAAATTATAGGTATTGGGAGTCCTTTTTATAGAGAATCTTATTTTGTGTATATATAGTATTTGCTATTTACAACATTTCCCCCTTCTATCTAATATTGGAATCAGAGACATCCTATTATCAATGAGAATGTGTTTTAAAATCAGACTGCGCTCTGGAACCTGGGCTTTGCTGCTTGCAAACTACGGGAGTGTGATCCCGTGTTTTGCCCTTTCTAAATCTTAATGGAAGACAATAAACCAGTTCTCTCTAAGCTACTGAGAGACATGCAGGCAGTATCTTCATGGTCAGGTCACTGCTGTGCCTTCCATACAGCATACTCTACCTCTGGATGGTGAGAAGGTGGGATGGCACATCGTAGGCAATCAATGCACAGCGGTTTCCCCAGGCTGTTCATGCTATCCCTGAAGCTAAACTGTGAACTTGTAAAACATGGAAATGGCATCTTGATTTGTGGAGTAATGTGGGGACATGGTTATAAAAATATTAACTGAAGATAGCAAGCAAAAGTTTTATAGCCATTATTTCAATTGTATACACAAAACAAACACTGGGGAGAGGCCATTGTATGTTTCTCATTAGGTGACTGTTCAAATAAGTTAAGGTACATCAAAACAATAAAATATGATATAGCAATTAAAATAATAATGTAGTGCTTTAATGCGTTTATATGGAATAATTTCCAAGATATGTTAAATAAAAAAGCAAGGTGCAGAAGAATGTATATAATATGCTCCTATGTATGTAAAGATATGTAGAGTAAGGCTGGGCATGGTGGCTCACGCCTGTACTCCCAACACTTCAGGAGGATGAGGCATGCGAATCATCTCACATCAGGAGTTCAAGACCAGCCTGCTCAACATGGCGAAACTTCTTCTGTACTAAAAATACAAAAATTAGCTGGGCGCACTGGCTCACGCCTATAATCTCAGCTACTTGGGAGGCTGAGGCAGGAGAATCACCTGAACCCGGGAGGCGGAGGTTGCAGTGAGCCGAGATCATGCCACTGCACTCCAGCCTGGGTGACTGAGCAAGACTCAGTCTCAAAAAAAAAAAAAAAAACATGTATGTGTGTGTGTGTGTGTGTGTGTGTGTGTGTATGTATATGCATCTGTGTGTGTATGTATATATGTGCGTGTATATATATGTATATACATACAGCAGTATCCCTATCTTCCAGGGGTACTTTCCAAGACACTGCAGTGGATGCCTGAAACTTTGGATAACACTGACCCCTGTATATCCTATGTGTTTTTTTCCTGTACTTACATATCTATGATAAAGTTTAATTTATAAATTAGGTAGAGTAAAATATTAACAATCATAAAATAGAAAAACTATAAAAATATACTGTAAAAAATAGTCATGTGACTATGTTCTTTCTCAGTTTCTCTCAAAATGCTGTAATATATTTGGACATTGAACTGAAATCACAGAAAGCAAAACCATGAATAAAGGGGAACTACTGTACATGCATTTAATGGAATATGCAAATAATGATGCAAAGATCACAAACTAATAAAAGCAGTTGTTTCTGTGGGAAAGAGTTTAATTTTCACCACATATGCTTTTGCATAGTTTGTTGCTTTTTAAACATGAGTACACTAATTTTAAGATAGAGAATTTTGATGTAAAATAGAGATGATTTATGTATTTATAAGGCAAATCCTTGATATACTCTCCACTCAAAACCAAAACAAAAGGACAAAACATCAATTTGTTCGAGTTGCTTATATCTTATAAAACCAAAGAAAAGCTATTTTTAAAAATTTCAACCAATGAATGCATTAATTTAAAACAGACAGAGCTATAAATGCAGAACAGACAGAGTCAAAGTATACTGTTAAAAGGATTGTCAGATAAGATATAGTATTTTTATTTTCTAACTCGGTCAATGCTAATTGCTGGAAGGTGAAAAGTGTTCTCAATTCTTAAGATTATAGAGGCCATTTTATACATACATATATATAGACACACATAGAATTATATATATAAATCTAATGTTTGCATTGAATATATATAACCATATTTACATAATTACATATAATGTAATATAATATATATATTTGCCATTTATATTTATATGAATGGCATATATATGTCATTTGCCATTATGCATATATGTATAATGGCCACTTATTTGGCCATTATTTGCCATTTTATATATATATATGCCATTTATTTGGCCGTATATTTATGTTTTTTATATATATATACACACATATATAATGGCTATACATATATCTATAAAATGGAAATATATATTCAATGTCAAACACATATAGAATATATTGAATATATAATTGAACATATATTGAATACATATATAGAATATATATTTATATGTTGTCAATATATATTTAATGTACATTGAACATATACATTGAATATATATGTAGCCATATATATCATTACAATGACTATGTATATATTCAATGTCAAACATTAAGATATTTTCAGGTAGTCCATTTTCTATTATTGTTTAGGTAAAATACAGTATGCTATTTTATTTGGAGTTTTTAAATGATGTTTTTGAAGTTAGACAAAAATAATAATAAAAGGTTCTCCCAGGTTTAAGGTATTAAAAGTTTATCCAACATGTAATCTGGCTCCAATCTGTCTTTTCAAATTTATATTCCCATACTTTCTTATTATCCCACTATGTTACCAACAAATTAATTCTTCCTATGGTTTAGCAAACATGCCTTACCTGCTGAATACTCATTCAGCGCTGACTTTTATACCTTTCTACCAATGTTAAGGGGCTCATGGATCTGAAATGTCAAGAGGCATTTTACTCTAACTGCTTCAGTTGAAAGGTTCTTTTCCTTCTGAGATCTCATTTGCAGAGTGCTTGTTTTACAATGCATTCTATTACTAGAATGTGTGCACTTGTCAGTGTCCCTAATGGATAAATAGAAGCACCATGAAAGTAGGAAGCAATCATTTCATCCAAATCTGTAATTGCTGCGTGTGCTCCAGCAGCCTGGCCTAGTATCTTCGCAGAGGTTATAACCAACAGAGTTCAATAGATGTGTGCGTGAATGGTAATGGATAGTTCAGTTCCTCTGAAGGTTAAATTCCAATCAACTTTGAATCTTTCAAGAAATAGCTACCTCGACTCAACATGTAGTAATACCTATTTATAGTTTAAAATAGTCATTATATTGATCTTCAACCATATTCTTTCCAGGCTAAAGTAAAAATTAAATTCCATGTGCTTTACTTAATATTTCTATTTTATTTTCTAATTCCTTAATAATTCTTGTATTGCTTTTACTAGCCCCCAACTTCTTCAATTGTTCTATAGGCTATGGAGTGCAGAGGGGGCATTATGTTCTATTGAATTAGGTCAGTGATGAATGATTTAATTCATGTTCAACGACTTTTGAGTTTTTTCTGACTTTTATATCTTAAAGTATTTCTCTCATACACTGGGTAACAGATGGTAGTAATTATTTTTTAACTAAAACTAAAACATTGGACACTTTATGCCAGGCCCTTCTTTGATTTTTAAAAATATTCTTCCGTGGAATATTTGGGAAACCACTAAGTTAACAGTATCCATAGAAGTTGTAATAAGAATAGCTAACATCTGAAAGTTAATTAGTATGTGCAAAGGATTGCTCAAAGAACTTTAGCTATATAAATTCAACGTAACAACTCTTTGAGAAGCTTGCCATTTAATATGGTTTAGCTCTGTGTCCCCACCCAAGTCTCATGTTGACTGTAATCCCCAGTTTCAGGGGAGGGACCGGATGGGAGGTGATTGCCTCACGGGGGCGGACTTCCCCCCTTGCTATTCTCATCGTAATGAGTCAGTTCTCACGAGATCTGGTTGTTTGAAAGGGTGTAGCGTTTCCCCCTTTACTCTCTCTTTCTTCAGCCAGCCATGTGAAGATGTGCTTGCTTTCCCTCAACTTTCTGCCATGATTGTAGGTTTTCTGAGATTTCCCCAGAAGCAGAAGTCTGTAGAGTCCACAGAAATGTGAGCCCATTAGAACTATTTTCTTTGTAAATTACCCAATCTCAGGTTTGTCTTTATAGCAGTGTGAGAACAGACTAATACACCATTATTATTTAAATGCTCATGATGAGAAAACTGAAATATAGAGAAGTTAAAAAACACATCAAAAGTCACACAAGTGCCGCATGAGGGAGCTGGAATTAACACAGGAAAAGTCCTTCAGAGCTCGTGCTCCTAACTTTTGTGCTAACCGGCAACTCATGTTAGATATTAAGCCGTTTTTATGCCCTGATACTAAAACTAAGCTGCTAAACTCCTTTAATTCTACCACATAGACATTTGATAATATTTTCCTACATTTTTTTCATATTTTCAAATCTTTGAGGTAGGATAGAATCTAAAGTCACAATAGATTTCAACCAGTGTCCCTAATGAACACATTTCCCTCACATCATGTAGAATTCTCTCACTTCTGGCACTGCATGTTGATTTTTAAGATAATTCCTCTGGGAGTCCTCTCAAGGTACAAGAAACAGAATTGCAGCTAGTCTGTGGAAAATCAGAAGTTTATCCTAGGGCCCTAAAATTTAGAGCACCTAAGCTTTTAAAATAACAATTTTAAAATGTTACTATATCATTAGCAGAGGTCATGAATTAAAATAGGAGCATTAGTGCCACATCAAAGATGACTGAGCAGCTCCACCTCAATGTAAGCACAGAATATAAAGATATAATTAAGAAAAAAAATTAAGCAAGCTAAAAAGAAAAAAAATCAATGCTAGGAAATAAAAATAAGAAACTCACAGCCAGAGTTGTAAGTAACCAAGCTCCTATCCTTGGGGTCAAGTAGGATCCTATTAGATTTAGGCCCTAACACACAGTGATTGTTATTTTAATGGTCATGTAGGGATAAAAGAGAAAAAATCTTGAATCTGGGGTGAGGCAGGGAGCATAAAGATGGAACCTTTGTAGTCTGGATCCATTATCACTCTAGAAAACTAGTAGCTCAGGGAAGTAGATGGGGACCTATCTCTGCCTGGGACTCTGTATGGAAGAAAAAAATAAAGTCATTTGAAAATAAACTAAAATGCAAAGCCTATACCATACAAGTATGTGGAGTTTGAATTTATATTGTTCAAAATATGGTTATCTCAAACTGAGAAATTAAGATAAAACTGCCATCAAAATAGGAAAGCTTTTCTTCATTCGGGCCTTTAGCATTAACCATCCATGTCTTATTCCAAGGGATTTAGGGTGGGAAGAGTGAATGAATCAACTCTAATAGAAAATGAATTCATAATAAAAAGAATCACAAACTATACAATAAAATAGACTTATAATAATGAGACAAATAATTTGAAAGATGATACTATACAAATATTGATGAAAGAAACAAAAATGCAATAGAAACCTTAATAAAATAACAGCTCACTCTGAAGAATAGAACATCTAGAAAAAAAATACTGAAATTTAAAATTCGATGATTGGTTTAAACACCATATTAAATACAGCTAAAAAGTTAATTTGTGCTGGAAGCTTTATCTGTGAAATTTACCTGGAATGACATATGAAAACTTTGAGAAAATTCGAGGTTGTGAAGGAAAGAATAAGCAAACCCAATATATATTTAATAGATGGCTGAAAAGAAGTAAATATAAAAGATGTGAGAGGAGGCCAAGTGCAGTGGCTCACGCTTGTTTTCTTAGCACTTTGAGAGGTCGAGGCAGGTGGATCACTTGAGGCTAGGTGTTCAAGACCAGCCTGGGCAACATGGGAAAACCCCATATCTACTAAAAATACAAAAAAATTAGCCAGGTGTGGTGGCACGCCCCTGTAATTCCAGCTACTTGAGAGACTGAGGCACAAGAATTGCTTGAACCTAGGAGGCAGATGTTTCAGTGAGCTGATATTATACCACAGCACTCCAGCTGGGTGACAGAGTGACACTGTCTCAAAAAATAAAATAAGTAAAATAAAATAGAGGAAATATTCAAAGACACAAAACTTTAGATTTCCACACAGATAGAATCATACCAATCCATGTGTTAGATAAGTAAAAACAAATCTACATTCAGATATATCTAGAGAAACTGAACAAAACAAAGATACTCATCATCAATAGCAGAAGCAATAACAGAAAAACAGTTTTGGCATGTCATGCCAGATGCTCGGGAAGCTGAGATGGGAGGATACTTTCAGCCCAGCGTTTTGAGACCAGCTTGGGCAACACAGCGAGACCCTATTTCAAAAAAATGTTGCGAGACCCTATTTCAAAAAAAGGAAACATAATATAAAGTAAAAAGACATAATAATTTTAAACTCCCAAGAGCAAATGACTACCAAATAATAACTTTACACCCAGATAGACCACCATTCAAAGTTAAAAACGTTTTCATACAAAGGGAACAATTTTCTACTCATACCATCACTAAAATTACTAACATATGTACCTCATTAATTTAAAGGGAAAAAAACAGAAGGGGTGGGATGCATGATGCTATACTGAGCAAAAACCAAAGCTAAATCTAAATAAACATGGATAAAAAAGTAAAAATTGTAAAAATAAAAATCAGGTATTTTTAAAATTTAAAGAGTTGAAACTATATAACAATGAGATGAAAGATGGAATAAGAGTAGAGGTATTAAATTTATGGTCCTTTTGTTGCGTTCTCTGTTTTTTCACTGCTGTGTTCTCAGTACCAAGGACACGGTAGATGCTCAATAAATATCTTTTGAATAGATCACTGAACCAAAATTCCATAGTTAAAGGTGACTATAGACAAGATCTTCAATTGCATTCCTCAGACTCTGAGCATAGCATGCGGTTTGCTCAGGGATCATCTAGGGTGTGCCCATGCATGTGGTCTTTGTAGGCAGCTGAATTCCTAAAAGTGTGATGGCCCTTGAGGTTAATCACTCTGATCTGCCTTAAAGGGAACATGCTGCACCTGCAGAATCAACTGGCGATCTCCAGCTGCTGACCATTCTGATCACCTGTAGCTTTAACACTGGGAGCACAGTCTGCTCCCGTGCTCCCAGTCATGACTGAGCACAGCAAGTGGAGGTCCCACAGCATGGCAGGTCTGCCCAAGGCAGAACTCCTCAAATGGGAAACTTTACTGTGGGACATCCCCACAACCTGGCCAAGCTTTCCTGAACCTCACTATAGACCCAGGCTCTTTCTACCTGATCCTTCTTCTTTCCCTCTCCTCTCAAAGGTACTTTGAGGAGTATTAGACATGCTTTGAGGTCGAGAGCTCTCTCTGCCTTCTCTTTCCTCTTCACACTCCCTTTTAGTCTTCACAGTGACGTCTACCAATAAATCTCTTTTATAACCAAGTTTGTCTTGATATCTGTGTGCATCTAGGAGGATCCACACTGACATATAAGGCAGAAGGGTTTCTTCTCTGGAGACAGAGGGGACCAGGATGAGGAGGATGGTCCCTTCATCTGAAAGAATAGCAGTCATGAATAAACTGGATGCACTCAGGGTGTAGACTTCCTGGGGTGGGAAACCTGTGGCATACCTCTTGCACATGCTTTATACCTTGACATTAGCAGAGCTGAGACATCCTGATAAACAGCGAAGTTTCAGGGCTATGACTTTCTTATGTATTCAGTCTGTGTTCTAACTTGGGAAGGTGGTTCAGGCCTAAGAACTTTAAAGTCAATTATCATTCTACTTTATGGCAATAAGCTATATTACCTGAAAACTCTCATAGACTGACATCCTTCTCACTTTCTAAGATTATGGGAAACAGGTCAGATTTTCTGGTCTTTTCTAAACCTTGCCATCCTTTTGGTGAAATCGTATTTGTGAGTCATCCATAAATC